CAAATCAATTTTCTTCCATTGCAATGAATCAGCTACATGGCGAAGTTTTCCATCACATAATCTTTCATTTGTATGTCATATATTATTATTTGTGCTATTTACATTATTAAATAGTCTCTTGAACCTTCGAATTATCGGTAGGTACCACATCATCTTGGAATGAACACCATTTATAGTTACACCATCATCATTTTCATCATAATTGTCTTTCTTCTTGTAGCGTGACTCCTCACGCCTTGGGTACTCCTTCTATACCCCAAGTCTCAAAAACCACAACAGTAATAATGACAATAACAACAATAATAATAACAACAATAACAATGACAACAACAATAACTACTACTACAAATACATCAACAACAAAAACATTGTTGGTACAGTCGTGGAGAGAGTTTTACATACCGGAAACATGACAAGAAAGTCAAAGAAAAATGTTGGTTTTAGGTTATATCTTCCTTCTTCCTCTGAGAAGATAGTGTTTCATATTGTTAGGTGGAGAAGAATGGTGTTTTAGTTCGTTAAGTGGAGAAGAATAGTTTTCATTCACTAGGGTGCAAAAAGTGAATGAAACTTAACATTCTGATGACTAAATAAAATGTTTATGGTTTACATCTTAGTTTTTAGAGAAATTGAGAGAACATAACCGAGGTAAAAACTACGTTCAATTTAATTAAATAAAATATCAATCAACATTTCATGTCGGTTATCCCGAAAGCCGATGGATAAAGATGATTTATAAAATAAAGGCGCAAATTTATTTTGAAATAAAGCATAAATTTTCAGGAGTTAAAAATCGAAGCTCAAATCCTAAGCTACATTTTCTATTGGTGTTTTACAAAACTGAAAGATAAGATTTAACTTTTAAAAAAATGTTGCATTTTCAGTTATTTGACCTCAGATTGCATTTTCAGTTATTTGACCTCAGATTTTCATTGGCTGAGGTGAAAATTTTGTCATAAAATGTATTATTTGTAGTAGTGTAAGTACAACACATTTTCTATCATCCTTTGGAATGACGTGAAGATTTGACTTGAAATCATCGTCCAAGGTGACAACTTTTTCTCCAAAAGGAAGATTCAAACTTCTAAGATTAGAGACATTAATTGTGTTCCTAAAAGACTCATCAACAACTTCAAAACTATACTTATGAATCATTGGGGCTTCATCCCAAATAATAATCATTGCTTAGCAATCAACTAGTTTAATGATCATTTGGTTTGATACGACACGTAGAAATCTAATTGTCTTTATTACCATGACAATTTTTGAAGGGAATTTCCTCCCACCAATAATAAGTAATGGTGATATTTCACTTGAGGCTATAATCGAAATAATATCTCTCATTTATAAAAGAAAAGATATGAAAATTAATTAATTTTTTTATTAGTCATTAATGTCATATCAGTGACACATGTGCAAAAATGGAAGGACTAAAAATTCTAAATATCATAGAATAGAGATCAAATAAATGAGTTTTAAAATAGAGTGACTAAAAGGATAACATCATCAAAATAGAAGGATCAAAAGTACATTTAATCCTCGTATTTTTTAGTGTGTGAATCATTTGATCTTTATTTCAACAACAAGTGGCATCTACAATTGGCGAAAGGTCTGAGTTAACAAGCGACATTGAGTTCTAAATGAGATATCAATAACCTTTTCAAACACAACAATTTTAAGTTATGAAAAATGAATATTCAAATAATTTTAATTAAACAAAAGTGTACATAATATTGAAAGGAAAAAGTTTAATGTCGATCAAGGGTGACAATGGACATATCTTTAGTGGATATCCGTAAAAATTACTCATGATAAGAAGGATAAAAATCCGCAAAATAGATACGAGCATGAACACATATAATTACCGACTAAAATAAGTGGATATTGACACAGATACGAGTACCTTAGTATCCTCTCCGCCTCATACACATACAATATATATTTATTTTTATTTTTATTATTAAATACACGTGTTAATTTATCAAAAAAAAATTAAATGCATTACTATTAAACTTATACACGTTTTAATATAAATGCTTGTTTATTTATTAACTCAACAATATAATTCTGAAATGCATTTTCATATTGTTAAAAAATTGAAATGACATGATAAATTATAATAAATTGATATTTTTTTAATTAAAAAATACAGATAAACGAATATGGGTATAGGTACTTAGCTATCCATAGACAAAACTTTAAAAATTAGATTGAATTGACTAGTTGAACCTGAAATTTGAGAGGTCACTGGTATGACTTGATTGTTGGATCTAATAAGCTATTGAACAAGTGGAAATCGACCAAAACCAGCTAAAATCAATAAAAACTAGATAATCGACGGTTTTGAAAATTTGAAGGGCTAAATATTTGTTTTTTTTCTTACACAAAATTACGTTGTTTTGATTAATTTTTAATATATATGAACTTTGTTTAAAACTTATTTGGAACAACTTTCTCTTCTCAGAATTTAATTTATTAGAAACTAAAATTATTTTGTTATTGCAATTAAACTTTGTTCAAAATCTATTTGAATTTGTATTTTGCATTTTTCTGTTGAGTATGATGATTATGTTTAGAATTTGAATTTATAGAATAATGAAATTATGATATTTTAAAATTTTGTTATTTAATAGATGTCGTGATTTGTTTAGAGACCGAATCATCTGACTTGACCAATTTAATAACTATATAATTTTGTTAAAGATCAGTATATTCAACCGAGTTATCTGGTTTAATCCGATTTAATCATGTGATTCAACCAGTAACTCAAAGATTCGACCAATGAATCATTGACATCCCTAAAAGTGACTAATTGCATATTGAAAATCTCGTATTAGATGTTCTCCGATTAAATATTTTTTAATCTATTATAAAAAAAATTGTTAGTTTAGTGTTTATAGCATTATGAAAAATTATTTGTCGTAAATTATTTTATCCAAATATTTTTGCACTTTTTTAATATATTCGATCAACTCAAATCAGCTTAATATTCTTTTCGATCTCGTATCTTAACTTCGAAATTTATTTTGGTCCCTTAACTTTAAAAAGGTTTATATTAGTCCTTAACTCTTCAAAACATTATATATTAGTTTTTTTTATCCTATTAGCGACGAAAAAATTCAAAACATTCTGATTTGACCTGATCAGAAGGGAATCAATGAGCCGCCACGCGTCTCTGATCTACTGCCTGTTCACCGGTGGTAAGAATGAGGAGGGGGTGTACCTGCAAGACACTCCGATGTCAAAGTAAGAAATTAGACAGAGCGAGAGCAAATACGGAAAGTAGGTTAAGAAGTGAATATCTGACTCTCTTGTGAAAGAGGGTATTTATAGAGACCCGGCGCAGGACCAACGGTCATTTGAGTTAGGCTGGATGGCTAGCCCCAACCCAAGTGACTGTTAGGTCTTACGTGGCGTAGTGAAGACCAGAACGTGGTCTTCGCCCTAGTTCAACCGCTCCGTGAACTCCGGAGAGTGGATTGACCTGCTCTTTCGGAGGTGGGCAGTTGGTTGATGGTGTGTCCCCGCGGAGGGGAGCACGTGGAGAACGTGAGTCCCATGTCTTTCTGCCCGACGGAGAGACGTTCTGTCCGACAGGGGAAAGCCTGGTCGACAGGAGCCTCGTGCTCGACACAGATGAGGGAGACTCATTTGGACCTTTCACCAAGTATAAGTGGGTTGGGCCTTCCCGGTCAAGCAGGGGCCCAGGCCAGAACACATTCTATATTAGTTCTTTTTATTCTATTAACGACAAAAAAATTCAAAAATCAATCACTAAATTCGTCGCTAATTAGATATAAATGACTAATATAAAATATTTTAAAGAGTTAAGGGATCAATATGAACATTTTTAAAGTTAAAGAACCAAAATAAAATTCGAAATTAAAATACGAGACCAAAAAAAATATTAAATCATTCAAATAAAATCAACTTGTTTTTCAATTCGGTTTGGTTTGAACTTTACAAAAAATTTACAAATCCAATCCAAATCAATCCATATATTTTTAAAAGTTGTTTTTCAATTCAATTTGGTATGTTGTTTTTCAATTCAGTTTGGTTTGAGCTTTACCAAAAAATTTACAAATCCAATCGAAATCAATTCATATTTTTAAAAGTTGTTTTTCAATTTAGTTTGATTTGAGCTTTACCGAAAAATTTACAAATTTAATTCAAATAATCCATATATAATTAAAAGTTGGTTTAAATTTTAAATTCTCTAAAAACCAAATTAGACCGATCCGCGAGCGAAGCCAAAAATGTGATTATTCTGGGACTCAGAGTTAGTAGTGTTTTGAAGAAAATTCTAAAAAAGTCAGGGGGACTCAGAGTTAGTAGTGTTTTGAAGAAAATTCTAAGAAAGTCAGGTCAGGTGAGTAATGACAATTATCTTAAATTTGAATCCAGCTAGACGTGATGTGAGATCAGGTGAGTAACATGCCAGAGTGACTGTAACACAACAATAACAAAAAACATCAAATATTCAAAGGATGCTTATACATTAAGCACACAACAACTTTCATCAGAAATTAAAAAAAAAAAGGTCTAGCCGCACCAACACAGTCAATTTTTTGGGACAATCAAAATCTATAATAATCCTCCATATATCCATAATAATACATATAATATTCACAAAATGACAATGAAATTCTTACGTTTTTCTGTTGTGTTCTTTCTTTCCTGAACAAGAAGCACTTTGCCGACTTTCTCTGGTCGACATTGGGAAAGCATTATTTTCAAAAAATAATAGTTGGGGAAGCTTTCTAGTTACTTCTGCCATTCTTTTTTCTTCAAGTTCTCCACATCTCATCCAACTATGATGATATCATTCCATATATACAACTAATAAACAATTTGAGCAAGTGGTCTTTACATTTTCGATAACAACCAGCTCTCAGTTATCAAAATAAAAATATGTCTAGTACTATAAATCCAACGGCATAAAACCTGAAACTGAAAGCCGCAGTAATTACACTTTTAACACACCATTTGACTATAAAAACATGGAAACATGGCTTTCAGGTTCATGCACCAAGAAGAAAATTGAGAAATACTCTACACCATCAAAAGTGATGTCTGTGCTTCCAAGAAGTGTCACTGATGACATTAACTTTGATGGTGAAAGTTTTCACAATTTTTTTGAGTGTTGGATGGTTCAGCAAAACAAATATCTGAATGAACTTGTAGCAGCAAATTCAGCTCAACCTCAGCTCACAGATGACAAAATGCATGTAGTGATTGATAAGGTTGTTGAGCATTATGAGTATTACTACAAGGAAAAATCTAGGCGTGCAAAGAAAGATGTTTTGTCCATGTTGTCGCCACCATGGTTAAGCTCTTTAGAAGCAGCTTTTCTTTGGATTGGTGGTTGGAGACCAAGCGTGGCATTTCATTTACTATATTCAAAATGCAGTATGCACTTTCAAGCTAGGTTGAATGACCTTATTCAAGGACAAAAAACATGTGACCTGGGAGATCTCTCGGCGTCTCAGCTCGCCGAGATTGATGATTTGCAAAGGAGGACTATTAGAGAGGAGAGGGAAATCGCTGATATGATGGCCGAGCATCAGGAAACGATTGCCGATGCTCCGATGGTGGAGTTGTCTCATGTGGTTTCTGAAATGATTGGAAGAGGACAAAACGAAAAGAAGGGTTTGGAAGAGAGAATTGAATCGATTATTGAAGCTAAGCTGGAAGGTTTGGAGAAGATTCTTCAAAAAACTGATGATTTAAGGCTGAGAGCTTTGCAGGGGATTGTTAATATCCTGACTCCAAAGCAAGCTATTTACTTCTTGATTGCTGCTGCAGAGCTGCACCTGAGGCTACATGAGTGGGGTAAGAAGAAGGATGATGCTAAAAGAGGCAAACAAGGTATTAGGGAGGGTGAAAACCATAATTCATGACAGCAACCACCAATTGGATTGGATTCAATCAAAGGGAGTTGGGTGAGGGTGCCTTATCTTGCACTACCTTCGATTTTATGTTTATCAAGACTAAGATGATGAAAAATAAGGACACAAATGTTCACTAAGGTAGGTATCTATTATGGTGTGACATTTTTCTTCAATAACATTTATAGACAAGTAATATTTGATATTTCATTTATATTTTAAGTTAAAACCAATATTCTTTCTGATCTTAATGTATAAGAAAAAATTTACCTTTTAAATACATTGAATAATTAATGTATTTGGAGTACTTGGAGAATATATAGACTAGATACAATGATTATTCAATGAATCTAAAATAGACACATTAAACACAACAGAAATGCAAACATGCATGTACAAGCAAATGTCTTCCTATTGCAAGAATGCCTGGTCAATTAATCAGTTGCGACAAGAAAAGTGATGTCATCTTCGAGCCTTTTAAATTAAATGAATATGTGCAAACAGAGAAACCAGAGAAACCCAAACAAAAACAAAATCTAAAAACAGAGTCGTCATCATATGCGGGCTCAGACCATTCTTGCAATAAACAACACTGATTTATTAAATCCTAAAATTGAAATTTATCTACAGTGCATATTATGACCCAATAAAAACAGAGTCGGCATAACATGCATTCTCTGTTTGGCCCAACTTATTTTGATATTTTCTTTTTGATGAGCAAACCTTATTAGTGTATAATTTTGTAGTCCAAAAGCTAGTCTACAATTGATTTTTTAATGAGGTTTGCCCGTTAGAGGTTATTAAAATAACTTGATTGTGATGCATCAGACTGCGTGTCCGTGATTTTTTTGACCAGGGAAAATGAGATCTTTGTTAAAAAGACTACATGTACTTACAATGTCTTACTTTAATTGAGTGAAAGTTTATACACAAGTATAACTATGTTACAGGACTCCATCTTTCTCCATTAATGCCATGTTTCCCTGCGAACATACTCTTCCAGATCTCTGCAAAAATAATTCATATGGTGGTTTTAAAAGAGAATTTCATCTTCAATATGTATGAATGACATATTTCTTATACTTTGATTGACACCCACAAAACCTGCCAATTGAATTGAGGAAAGCATTTTAACACCGCCCGACAAAGTACAGAGAAATTAGCACAACTAAAAGTAACACTAAAAAAGAATCTATAACAATTGCATTTTAAGTTTTAACCATTCATAATACTCACCAAAGTTCATTTCATAAAGCAAATTATTATCCATGACAGTTTGTCTTTGATTAAATGAAGAATAAAACAAAATTACAGCCTACAAGTATTCAATAACTATTGAAATGCATAATTTCAATAACAATTACCCAGTCGATAACTGGAATTCTTATAACTATTTGAAATACATAACTACAATGTATGGACATACAATTAGAACCAAATACCAATTAACAAAAATTTATTTTCAGCTGCGATGAATTGACTTAACTAGAGCAGCAGTGAAATGTTACAACAATAAAACATTGTTCTCATGTAAATTTCAGTATTGGCAAATTGGTAGTCCTACAAAAGTTAACAAGCAAGAATGGGCGTAAGCATCAATTTTCAATATTTCAAATGAAACAATATACTTGAGCACTAGATCAGGTTCACATACCATTTACCAACAACTGTACCCATAATAATCAAATGGTAAATCTAATTTCATGACTAGCAAAAGACAAGACCCTAACACTTGGCGCGGCGTGCATTTTGAATGCTTAGGTTTAATTTAGATTACTGCAAAAGAAAATCAGCGCATTTTGAATGCTTAGGCTTAATTTAGATTACTGCAAGAGAAAATCAGCTCTAACATACCCGTTGAGATTTGAAGAAAATGGGAAACTGTTATTTTTGGAGTTAGATCTTGGAAACAACACCAATGATAAGGCTATAGCCCGCAGACAACTTTAGAAGTCAAGGCAATCCTTATGCTCCAGATCACATAGAAGTATGAAAAAAACAATCAATTATAAGAACTTCTAGGAAGATATATCTACTTATTTAAAACCTTTTGAAATCAGAATGAAGGTTGATTTGTAATAGATATGTTCTGCCCCACTATATTTTCCAAATGTTAATGGAAATAGTTAGACTATGGTTAGATATATAGATATATACATATGTTCTGCCCCACAAAAACAAAATCCTTGAAGCTCTATTCATCATTTACATATATAGATATCAAACCAATTTATAGATGGCAAACTCCAAAGGTGTGTGTAGTGTACCGGAGCTTAAACAAAAAGACATCTATAACAGCTTGCCATCAATAAATAATGTTTCCCCTTGAAAGTTGTAACTATAAAAGAAAAAGGCTGGAACACAGCATAGGTATATTATAATCAATCAAACTGTTCGAATGTGTATATCAAATCTTCTGAGGTAGGTAGCAATAGGTTTATTACAACACTTGATTAACATTTCTACACAACATCTTAAAATTAACACCTTCAATAAATTTCATCAAAACACAAATAATAGTGTGGTATAGGGTATTAGATGATAACATAACACAAACATATAATCAAGTAAAAAAGAATGCTGCAGCCCTAGAATGCAACAGTATAAAAACATCATGCAACACTTCACAGCCTGGAAATCTAGTTGGTAACTATTTTTTAATAATGAAAGGATGATGATGCTTCCACAGGTTTCCAGTCATGAGTGACTCAACTGGACTAAGTTTCACATATTTTTAAAGTTCCTTATTCTCATTATGGATTGCCAACTGTCCATTCTCCCTGAATTACACTTCCCACAAAGTTTGTCTAGGTCAGGCAAAATAAAACGCTTAAAGGTCAAGTAAGCAAAACTGAGAAAGATAAGAGATATTTATGATGATAAAGTGATAAAAGTGTAGAACTCACTGTAACAAAACAACTGAAGCTTTCATTAATCAGCGTGTGATTCCTTTGATATAGTAGCAACTCTACATACAACTGAGAAAGGAAGCCATAGAAACATGGTGTAGAATGATTTTAGAATGGAGAGAGAGGCCAAAGCAAGTGCATTACTTGAAAAATAAAAGACGTGTGACAGTAAACTGGGTTTGATGAAAGAGCAATAAGGTGTTAATTTAAATTCTTTGGTTCTGATTCCAGAAATACCAGATCAAAATACAGGGATATTTGGCATTTTAAATTCTTTCAACACATTATTTGCATTCTTAAATACCCAAGCACACGGAAGAGTAAAACTAATCATGGCAAAATGAAAAACAATGTTTAAACAGAGAAGTCTATTTCTAAGAACAAAATATAAGATCATCGACCCATCTTTCGCTTGGGCTTCTTCACAAAACTCAGCCGGATCTGTTTCAAGCGTCTTCTCTTCCTAGCCATTTTCTCAGGCAAAGTTTCCCTTTTCTTCTCACCCTTAACTTTCTTCTCCTTCTTCTTCACAAATCTCGGATCAACAACATACTCTTTAGGAGTCACATCCAATCCTCTACCCCGAGCTTCATTAAATAGGGCATTGGCCTTATCAACACGATCGTGTGCACCCAATTTCTTCATCAACAAGTCATAAGTTTTAACCCCAGGTTCACACCCATCAGCCTTCATCATAGCAAAGATCTTCAAAGCATGATCAATCCTCTCAATGCCACACAAAATGGTAAGAAAATCAAAATAAGCTTTCTTATCAAGAAAAGCACCAAACCCAGAAGATTTCATTCCATCAATCATTCCGTCACCTTCTTCCAACCTTGCAGCCTGATAAAGGCTCTTAATCAAGACAAGAAAAGTAGTCTCATTGGGATTACATCTCCACCCTTGCATGGAAAAGAACAACCCCAAAGCAGCATCAGTCTTCCTAATCTTACATAGATTCGTTATCAACACATTGAATGTCTCCACATTCCGAGGAACCCCGTGATGATCCATTTCCACAAGCACTTTCTCAGACTCGGAATTAAGCTTAAATGGATCCTTTTGACGACAGATTTTGCAGACACAGTCAAGCATTGCATTGTAAGCCCCTACACCAAGCTCAAATCCTCCACGATACATCTCTCCGGCAAGCCTCCGAGCTTCTTCGATCTTTCCGTCGATGCAATAACCTGTGACAAGTAAGTCACACATTGCTTCATCGGGGAAGAATTCCTTAGCCAAATCCTTCGTCATCTTCTCTGCGTAACTTGCGTAACCCTTCAAGCAAAGCTTCTCCACAACCACCTTCAGAGAACTCCGATCTCTCTTCAACCCGTAATCCTTCTCCATTCGCTCAAAAAACTGAACTACCTGGCTCGGACGACCAGCTCGAACAAGCCGGTCGATTGCCGCTAGTAAGGTTTTAGACCCTGCGCCACCGCTGGCAAGGACTTTGTTCGTGGCCTTGAAGTCTTTCCGGCGACCGAAGTAGTCGACGAAGTAAGATAGTGTTTCGTCGGTGTGTGTGAATTTGGGATTCGAAGCTAGCCATTGATGGAACCCCAATACAGTTCTGCCAGCTTCAAGGGAGAGATTTAGAGTTTGGAGAACCAAACTATGCGTAGGAGTAATGTGGGAAAAACTGAGTTGGAGTCGCTGAGCGACAGAGTTAGGATCCGATTCTGGTTCTTTGAGAAGCTCCGATGAGATTGCGTGGGCAATTGGATCCGATTCTTCTGGGAGTGTTTGCGTTGGGGAAACAGGTTCTGATTCTGATACCGATGAGAAGAATTTGGTCTGGAAGAGTGAAGGTGGAGTGAAAATGGTTGAGTGTTGGAAATGTGATGAAAAATTGGAAGGGATTTGGTGGGAAGAATGAGGAGGTGGTTGAGTCGGAGATGAAGAAATGAATGATATGGAGCGAAAACGGACGGAACGAAGTAAGAGTCTTCGAAGTTGCAGAGACGCCATTTTTAGGGTTTTAGGAGGAGGATGAAGAACGATGGAGAAGCTTAGAAGGAGGGTATCGTGGCAACGGCTACAATGGGTGGGTTTGGATTGGGCTCGGCCCATTTAATTATTGGGTTAAGAGGCCAAAAACTGGAAAGTTTTACCTCATACCCCTACCCTCATACCCATACCTCTACACTCAAAAAATTTGGACCAAAATACCCTTAGTAAATCTATAATCTTACATTTTTTCATTTTTCACTTCTATTTCTCACTTTCCATTTTGAGACTTCCGGAACTCTCAAATTTTGCTACAAACCGGAACTCTCACAGAAACACTTCCGGAACACATTTTAAGAACAATACATACCGGAACACTAAGAATAAGTCTTCCGGTTTGTATTTTGTTTTTACTTCTTCACCGTAACTCTTTTATTAAGACTTCCGGTTCACAAAATTTTGAGGTTGGTCATCGGAACTCTTTTTTGAAGACTTCCGGTTCAGAAAAGATTTTAGTTTACACACCGAAAGTTTTTCCTAAAGACATATGATACACTAAATGTTGCGTTTCAACTCCGGAAGTCTTCAAAGAAAGACTTCCGGTTCATTGCTTTTTTATTTTTTAATTTTTGTTATTTTTGTTTTCTAATTATATTTATTTATTTATTAATTTTTAATTATATTGATTTTTTTTTCCAGTGGTGCGCACAAGAGGCAGAGACGGTAGGATCCCTCGTGGACTAGGACGGGGCGAGTCATCGAGGATGGCTGAAGAAAAGCATTTTGATGCATCTGCATCAACATCAGCATCTGATCCGGTTGGATATCCCGGAGGACCATATGATATGTCTCTGTTAGTTAAATACGAACAGCATGTTGCATACCGTATATGGTTTGGTGAGGTAAGTAAACGAAAATTATTTAATATTCAATAGAATTCGAATTTTTAATATTGAATTTTATAATATTTTTACTTTTAATTTTTTCAGGAGAGAGGGTCGAAGAAAGAGTTAAAGGTGGCGGGACATGGGATAAAGTTGACTCAGAGGGTTCCACTACAGTTACCCAGAGAGATGGAGAGCTGGATATCTAGGTCTGGTCTAGCTTCACTTCAGAGAACCAGTTTAACAAAGATAGACACAAACCTAGTTTCCGCTTTTGCAGAGAGGTGGCATTTAGAGACATCTTCATTTCACATGTCATTCGGTGAGATGACGATTACTCTAGATGACGTATCTTGCCTGATTCACTTGCCATACAGGGGAGTTTTCTGGAACCCTCCAGATATCAGTGAAGCGCTTGCTATTGAGTGGGTTGTTGATTATTTGGGAGTGCCACAGAGAATAGCACAACAACAAGTCCGTGAGTGCAAGGGTTCCTACTATAAGCTGGAGTGGTTATATGATCGGTTCGTAGAGCACTGAGCTGCATCTTGATGGGATTATGCCACTAGAGATGGTGGTGGTGTAGGTTTGACAAGTTGGTTACATGGAAAGATGTGGTAATAAAACTTGACATGCCGAGAGGTGTGTATTTTGTGATTTGTTGGGTCAAGACATATATAACTGTATTGGGATTCTGCATATCCTAGGAATATGCATGGTTGATGTAACACCCCCTTTCTATACCCCCAAAATAAACAATTAAATCATTTAGGCACAAGCTCAAAAATTCATCAGAGTACATTTGCAACGTGGCATAAAAGGGGAATATCACATTAACAGAAAAATTCCAACACATACAACACCTGCTCAAACGGATATGCAACAACAGGGTGACACCCACAAGAAATATTTAGAACAAGGCGGAAATATCCAAATATTCCATAATTCTCCAAGACATATGATCACATATACAAATATTCATTCATCATGTTACAAAACATATCATCAGCAGATACATACACAGATGTATCACAAAAAAAAATATCAAAATAATTCCTATCTACCCGGTGCTACATATCAGAGTCGACCGACCAAAAAGGGAAGAAGTCACGCTTCACAAAAATACCTCCAGCAATCTAATCTGCAATGCCTCATAGAGCATTAAAAGAAACCACAGAAGGGTGAGAAACGATATCATAAAAACAATGCATATAAACATATATATACATAATATCCAATATACGTCTTTCGCATTCTCACCGTCACTCACCTTGTTATACCGTACATCGCAATGTATTCACATTATCTATTTACAAATAGAACACCATGCATATACAATATGCGTCAACAATGTTTATATCAGTTCATAAACACACAAAACATACATATACATATATTCACACATACATGTGTCTTCAAGCATAACAATCATGCCAATCATCAATAATTCATATAAACATTTACAATTATGTTTATTCACCATACACCATGCAAGATGTCAACATGCAACTCATATAGACCGACACACGACTCTATGCAGATGCAAATGCGGTACCGACTCATTTCAGCAGGTTCAATTGAAGAACCAAATAACCATCGCTCACACCCCACATGGGCACACGAGGTTCTGCAGATTCTACGCGGAATCAAAATAACCATCGCAACATACGAGATTCTGCAAATCCACCGAGGGATCAATAATTAACCATCGCTCACACCCCACAAGGGCACACGAGGTTCTGCAGATTCACCGAGGAATCAATCGACACAAGAAATGCATACCATGATGCTTCACATGCAACATGACTCATGACACTCTTGAAATGCACACATGTTTGCAAACATACTCATGCATTCTACACATTCATCGCATATATTCATACAAGCATCATAGATTTTTAATCAAGCTAAACAATGCACATAAGTGCCCAAACGGCCACAAATCATAATCTAGGATTCACGCCATACGGCTACCCACAATACATCACAAACCAGCATATAAGCTATTAAATCAAAGAAGGGTCGATCACAACCGAAACCCCAAGCCACGACAGCACGGCAGCACCACGCAACAGGGAAAATTCATCCTGCTACGTTCGCTACACGCTCGCCTAGCGAGCTGCTAGCGAGCGTTCGCTACCTCCTCGCCTAGCGAACTGCTAGCGAGCAAGAACAGAGGCTACATACCTCGTTCGCTACCCCGTTCGCCACATCGAACCTCCAGCGAGCTCCTCGCTACTCCCTTCGCTGCTAGCGAGGGACATTAGGATCTCACTGTCCCAAGTCTGGGACCGTTCGCTGCACGCTCGCCTAGCGAGCTGCTAGCGAGAGTTCGTTGCGTGCTCACCTAGCGAGCTGCTAGCGAGTCGCCTGCGAACAACAACATTCAGTTCTGCTCCAGCACCTTCAAACTCACCAAAATCACCCGATTAAATCCAAAGTTTGTTCCAGTAGCCTTAGTCTAACATATATCGTCTAACCTACATCATCAAATCACGATTCTAACCGTTAAACAACGATTCTTCCCGATTAAACCAAATTCAACCTAAAATGGAAAGTGTAGAAAAACTACCAACAATCCAACAAAATCATACATGATTATACACATTGGTAGAATAATAAAGTTTCACACCCTTACCCGATCAATCGAAAGCTTTGGTGATGATTTCTTGAAGTTCTAGGTTTTCCTCTCCTTTTCTCTCCACTTTCTCTTCTCCTCTTTCTTTCTCTTGTTTTTCTTTCTATGTTACTATCTTTTCTCTTTTCCTCTCTTATCTCATAATTCTATTTTTTTTCCTCTCAAATTCTTTCCACACACTAATTAATCAATTCTCATAAAAATATCCACTTAGCATAATCACTAATGCCCAAAATACCCTCCGACCTATTTTGCCCAAAACAATATGCACACATAACATATTAAACACATAAATCCTATATTTAAAATAATAATTCAATCAATTAAATTAAAAGGACTCAGAATAAAGGAAATCGGAATCGGGGCGTTACAACTCTCCCCCACTTAGGAATTTTCGTCCTCGAAAATATTACCTGATTCGAACAGCTCTGGATGCGACTCACGCATCTTACTCTCCAATTCCCAAGTCATATTGCCTTCCGCAGCACCTCCCCATGCTACTTTTACAAGCGAAATATCCTTGCCTCTTAGGTTCTTAACTTCGCGGTCCAAAATCATAACCGGCAAAACCTCAACCGTAAGATTATCTCTTACCTCCACCTCATCCATAGGAATCACATGTGACAGATCTGGAACATACTTCTGAAGTTGCGAAACATGGAACACATCATGCAAATTCGAAAGATTCGGAGGCAACGCCACACGATAAGCCACCGCACCAACTCGTGCAATAATTTGATACGGACCGATAAAACGAGAAGTCAACTTCTTCGACTTCAAAGCACGACCCACACCCGTAATCGGTGTAAATCTCAAAAACACATGGTCACCTTCTTGAAATTCAAGATCCTTCCTTCTCTTGTCATGATAACTCTTTTGCCTATTCTGAGAAGCTTTCATCTTCTCCCGAATAAACTTCACCTTCTCCGTCGTTTGTTGTACCATTTCCGGTCCAACTACCGATCTCTCTCCGGTTTCATGCCAACACAAAGGTGTTCGACATCTCCGATCATACAAAGCCTCAAATGGTGCCATACCAATACTTGCATGAAAATTGTTGTTGTAAGTGAACTCAATCAATGCCAAAAAGCTATCCCAAACACCACCTTGCTCGAGCACACAAGCACGCAACAAGTCCTCCAACGATTGAATCGTCCTCTCAGTTTGGCCATCCGTCTGTGGATGATACGCCGAACTCAATCTCAACTTAGAACCTAAAGCCTCTTGCAAACCTTCCCAAAATCTCGAAGTAAATCTAGGATCTCTATCCGACACGATACTCTTGGGAACTCCATGCAACTTCACAATCACCCGAATATAAATCTCGGCTAACTTTTCCAAAGGATAACCAATATCAATCGGAATAAAGTGAGCAAATTTAGTAAGCCTATCAACAATCACCCAAATAGCATTGTGACCTCTTTGCGTATTTGGTAAACCCGTAACAAAATCCATTGATATACTATCCCATTTCCATTCCGGAATATCCAACGGTTGCATCAAACCGCTAGGCTTCTGATGTTCCACCTTAGACTTCTGGCAAGTCAAACACGAATACACAAACCGAGCTACATCCCTCTTCAATCCGGACCACTAAAAGATTTTCTTCAAATCTTGATACATCTTATTCGCACCCGGATGAATACTCAAATTACTCCGGTGTCCTTCCTCCAATATCATCTTTCTCAAATCCATATCGTCGGGAATACAAATACGACCACGGAATCTCAAGACTCCAAAATTATCAACTTTAAAGTCCTCATTCTCATTCATCATCAAATCCACAAATTTCAAATCCAACTTTTGCTTTTCACGAACGGTAGCAAGAAAATCATTCGTAACATGCAACATACCAAGTTTCACACTTCTCGGCGTCATTTCACAAACCAAACTCAAATCTCTAAAATTCTCTAAAAGTTCCCATTCTCTCACCATCAATGTAGACATATGCACTAACTTCCGGCTCAAAGCATCGGCTACAACATTTGCCTTACCCGGATGGTAATTCAAACCAAAGTCATAATCCTTAAAAAACTCTAACCACCTCCTTTGCCTCATATTCAATTCCTTTTGTTCAAATAAATACTTCAAACTCTTGTGGTCGCTAAAAACTTCAAATCTCGCACCATAGAGATAATGCCTCCAAATTTTCAAAACAAAGACCACGACCGCCAATTCCAAATCATGCGTAGGATAATTCTTCTCATGCACTCTCAATTGCCTTGAAGCATAAGCCACAACTTTACTGTCTTGCATCAAAACACCACCCAAACCGGACAAAGAAGCATCACAATAAACCACAAACGATTCCGTCGGATTTGGCAAAATCAAAACCGGCGCCGTTGTCAACCGTCTCTTAAGTTCAACAAAACTCTTCTCACAATTAATGTCCCAAACAAAAGTCTTTCCCTTACAAGTCAACTGAGTCAACGGAAGTGCCAACTTCGAAAATCCCTCAATAAACCTCCGATAATAACCGGCCAAGCCCAAAAAGCTTCAGATCTTCGTAACTGACTTAGGAGCCTCCCATTGCATTACCGCATCAATCTTGGACGGATCAACACAAATACCATTACCAGAAATAACATGCCCAAGAAAACTCACTTCCGATAACCAAAACTCGCACTTGGATAACTTAGCATACAATTGCTTCTCCTTCAAAACTTGTAACATAACTCGCAAATGCTCTTCATGCTCTTCTTGAGACTTAGAGTAAATCAAAATGTCGTCAATAAACACAACTACGAAACGATCCAACTGCTCATGAAAGATACGATTCATATATTCCATAAACACACCCGGCGTATTAGAAACTCCGAATGGCATCACAGAAAATTCATAATGACCATACCATGTCCTAAAAGCCGTCTTTTGAATATCTTCTTCTTTAACACGAATCTGG